ACTGGGGTTCTTAGTCTGACAGCCGGCAGGGAGCTGGATTCGGCGGTAACCAGAGTGAGCTTGGAAGCCGGCCTCCCCCAGGTGAGCCTCCAGGAACAGCTTGACCCCAGCCTCGGAGAGACCTGAGACAGAGGTCCCCGCTCAGCTGTGCCCGATCCTTGGCCTACAGAAACTGAGGGAACAAATGCTTGTTGCTTTAAGCTGCCAAGGTTTGGGGTAATTGGTTACACATCAGCAAACAGCAAATACACGGGTTGTACATCCTTAAGCTGTGATTTAGTTCCTTACACTCAGTTTCTTCACGTGTAAAAATGGGGATAACACCACCTACTCCAGAGCTGTTGTGAGAATCAAACGATATGATGCAAATGAAAGCTATTTGTGCCATCTAAAGTGAGCCGCAAGTCAGACGCCCTCTCCAGACACATCCTAGTCCAGAGGGAGCCTTCTCAGCCTTCGTCGTTTAATATCAAGTATCCTGAGCTCCTAGAGTTAGTGAGCCAGAGGTATACGGCCAACGTCATGATATCTGCTGGGATGATCCCGTAGTGCCCAGCTGTGCATTTCATTAATTTAACATTAAATGCCTGTAAACAGTTCTCTTTTTTCATGTGTCAGCTGATAATTAACTCCTGTAGTAAAAATCACAGCATCCTCAATGGCTGTTTTGGTTCTCTACTTATGTTAAACCTAAGGGCTGCTTTTCTCAAAGGCATTCACAGAAGGAGAAAGGAGAATGCGTCCCCTACTCAAGGCCTTGGCACCGACCCTGCCTGGACCCCGGGCCACGGACTGGGTAGAACCATTGTGGTGGCAGCAGACGTTCAGTGGAGGCCTCTCCTTGCCCTGCCTTCCGCTAACTCAGGAGGGTTTGAAGAGCTGTAAATGTGGACTCAGTCCCCATGGAGCTCACCATCTAATGGGAGTGATGGAGCCTGGAAAGCTACCTGTGCACTGGGCCAGGAGGTATTATATTCTCATTATGTATATATGTAGATAACATATTCTACTGTCTTTAGAAGCAGAGAAATAACCGTGATGGACCCCAAAAATTGAGGCATGTTCACTTTCTCTATAACATAGAAAAAATAGTGAGGCAGGATATTTAGATAAACCTTTGAAAAATTTACAGTGGTTCCAGGGCTGGCCAGGTGGCACAGTGGTTAAGTTCGCACGCTCTGCTTTGGTGGCCTGGGGTTCACTGGCCCAGATCCCGTGTGCAGACCTAGCACCACTCATCAAACCATGCTGTGGTGGCGTCCCACATAAAACAGAGCAAGATTGGTGCAGATGTCAGCTCAGGAATAATCCTCCTCAAGCAAAAATATGTTAGCTCAGAGCCAATTTTCCTCACACACAAAATAGGTACTGTGGTTTCTGTCTCTTTATCACCTCGCAGTATTTTTAAAAAAATCAATCATTTCTTCAAACATTATATTTGGGCACCTATTACTGGCAAAATACTATGCTTAGTGTTGTGGGACATGAAATTTGTGAGAAAAGATTCTGCTCCAAAAGAGAAAATAATAATAATACCACCACCACCACACAAGTTATTGATACATCGTCTCCTTTTATCATCACAAAAACTTTAGTAAGAAGATCAAATATTTCCATCAAAGATGAGCACTGAGGCTCAGGAAGGTGGAGCAATTTTTCCAGGGATGTACAAGTAAAGGTGTCACAGCCAGGACCTGAGTGGTCTGTGCGTCCCCAGCCCCTTCTTCTGCCCCTCACCTCCTCCCAGCCTGTCTTTACTTTGGTTGCTGGGAGCATCAAGTGCCACTTTATAAAGGATTTTATGGTTCTGCAAAAGCATCTTATTTACTTTCATGACAAACGCTGAAATCAGTGTTCTCCCCATTTCTAGATGAGAAGATGAGGCTCAGGCAGTTGAGGTGACTTGTCCAGAGTCAGTGAGCGAGTACGTGCAGACCTGAGGTTCAGTGTGAGGGACAGCGCACAAGAGCGTTACAAGGCAGGGCGGGATCCAGGCCAGGTCAGAGGCAGCCTGTCAGGCACTGGTGGAGCCGGGAGAGGGATCCTGTGGGAGGAACTGAGGGGCCATCGGAGAAAATGTGTCCCTAAGGATGGAACAGCTGGCAGCGGGGTGCCCAGAGGCTGTTTCTGCGGAGCAGGGTGAGGAGTCCAGGTTGAGGAAGGGATGTTTCGCTAAGGTTCCAAAGACCCGGGTGCCAGCCCTGAGATGGAGGTGCCTCCGGGATGGAGGCCAGTTCCCTGTCCTCTTAGGGCCTGCTCCCTCCTGTGTGCCACGGGGTGACCATGCTTACGCGGCCCCACAGCGTCGTCATGAGAGCTGAAGGGACAGTGCAGGAGTGGTGTCAAGTCATAAAGCACTTTACAAATATCAAGTCTTATTACTCTGATTTTATTTTATTTATTTATTTATTAACGATTGGCACCTGAGCCAACATCTGTTGTCAATCTTCTTTTTTTCCTTCTTTTCCCCAAAGCCACCCAGTACATAGTTGTATATTCCAGTTGTAGATTCTTCCAGTTGTGGCATGTGGGATGCCGCCTCAGCATGGCCTGACGAGCCATGCCATGTCCACGCCCAGGATCCGAACCGGCAAAACCCTGGGCCACTGAAGTGGAGCATGTGAACTCAACCACTCGGCCATGGGGCCGCCCCCCCCTTATCCTGGTTTTAGACAAGACGAGCTTCAGGCTCAGAGTCTTGAAGAACTCGCCCAGGACCACACAGGAAGGCTGGCAAGACCCTGGGGTTGGTACCAAGACCCTGAGTGACCAGCAGCCACCGCAGGCCCTGAGCCTCAGTCTGTGTTTGGAGAGGCGCCAAGGGCTGACTTTCTGTCCGGGGTATGCGCCGCCTTCTGGGACCATGAGGAACCAAGCTGAGCAAAGAGAGGACCCTCTCTGCACATCCACTGGTCTGAGCGAGGCGGAAGGAAGGGGTTTCTCAGGCTGGGCTTAGGTCCAGGCCCCGTGCTCGGAGAGGCCAGGCAGGTCACCCTCTCTGCACACAGCTCCCACCTGTCAGAACAGTCCCCCTGACGCATGGCTTTGGGCAGAGAGCACTCAGACTTTTCTGTAATAAAGCCCACAATGCTTTCAAAGCCCGGAACTCTCCTCAATAATGTTTTCAAATACATAAAATAAACTGCACGGGATTATAAAAGAGACAAATCATATTGAGATGAACTTCTAGAAATATTAAAGTATTTGTGATATAGTAATACATATATATGCTTCTTTATTAAAGGATTAGATTAAGCAGGAGATCTAATAACTATTGTGATTTTTAAGTAGAGATAAGCACAAATGACATTTCAAGACATTCATCACAGCTGTAAAACAATGATTTAAAAATACGCAATTTCTATTGGTGAAAAGTTACAGATATTCCTAAATGCTACCAATGTTGCCAACATTTATAATTGAAAAACAAATTACATTTCAATTAGAGGTTAGTGAAATAAAAATGTCACCTTTTCCTACCCAAATCTATGTACCTCCTCCCCTTCCCACCCCCAGAATGCTATCCAGAAGCCTTTAGGACCAGGACTAAGAATTCCTGCTTTAGAGGAGATTAAAGAAGGTTTTTGAGTGGAAGACAGTAAGTTTTGAAAGAAATAACACTTATGATTGCACCAACGTTTATTTTTTCATTTATTAGTAATATATTTACCATGTTCAATTATATTTCACTGTAGATATTCATTATATTAATTAAATATTCTCACCATAAATATTAGTAAAATGAATGGCTGGACAATTAAGAAGCAAATGTATGTTGTTAAGTCACAAACCTATCTCAAACAGTTACCTTAGTGAATTGACACTCCATGCCTCAGTTTCCCCAGATCATGGATGATGAGGGTAACAGTAACAAACAGTACAATGTAAGGGTCAAGAATACGGTGTTTGGAGTCTGAAATAAATTTTCTAGCACCACCACGCACTAGCTGGGTGGTCATGGGCAAATTACTTGACCTTTCTATTCTGTATTAATTACATAAATTAGGAGTAACTTTTGATGGCTATTGAGAGAATCAAAGGAGATTTTATATATATATGAAAACCTTTGAAGAAGTTCCTCAGAACTCTTAAAAGTCACTGAATACCCGAGAGCACAGAGTAGGAGCAGGCATTTAATGAGAGAGAGAAAGAGAGGAGAACCACTAAGAAAGAGCCAAAGATCTGTTAAAGAAATGCTCTTTGGATAGTCCACCTGGACTACCAGCTTTGAGGGCTCTGGAGGTCTATAACATGAATCTTGCTTCCCGATTTCTAGTTCCAAGGAGAGCTAGCCCCTGGTCAAATATTGCAGAAGGTAACGGCTGACTTTGGGCCCTCTGCCCCTCCTGTGGTGCACCTCTCCTAACATTCAGAGCTCTGCTGGTGTCTCCCAACACCCTCAACAGATAGCAATGCCCTCATTTCACTCCCTGGTCAATTTGGTCACTCCATTCTCCAACCTCCAAAAAACTATTATAGTTACGTATAAGGTACTGATTATGACCTCTTTTAAGCCTCACATATACCATATGAGCTAAGTTTTATTATACCAATTTTATAAATGAGAAAATTGAGACCAATAGACAGAACTACCAGTTATTGGTTCCAGATGCTTTATATACATTATTATATTTCATACAACAACCTTGCAAACTATTGTTATATCAGTTCCCTTTAAAACATGAGGTGTCAATATCAGAGAGGTTAACTAATTTCCTTACGCTGGCAAGATGAAAAGCTGGATTTTAAATGTAGATGTATTTTATTCGAAAACTTATGCATTCCATGATGCCTAACGATAACAATGATGATGATTTTATTATTTTTTATCTTTTTTACTGTTATTAATTTTTTATTTCATAGCTCTCCCAGAGAAATAATTCTATTATGGGATTCCATGATGGGATTCTGAGAGATGCAATGCTTTAGACCCTGTGAGTTGACTTTATCCCTTACGATGCTTTCAGCTGCAAGTTAAAAAAAAACAAAGACAAATGGCATAAACAACAAGTAAACAACAGATTATTTATTTTATCTCTTAAGGAGATGCCCAGAGTCGGAGAACTTCCAACGTTGGTTAATTCAGTGGCTGTGATGTCATCAAGGACCCACTATCCATCCATCTTTCTACTCTGTCATCTTCAGCAGTTTGGTTTGTCCTCTTAGGCTGGCTCCCATGATGGTACCAGATGGCTCTTTCATTACAGGTGACAACATCTAGAAGCAGAAAATGAAACTGCTAAACTTGTGTCCCTTTTACTAGTGAGAAAAACTTTCCCAGATCCTCATAGACAGATTTCCCTTGACATCGCCTCAGCCAAAACTGTGTCACATGCCCACGCCTAAACTAATCACTTTCCAAGGGCAACAGAGTTACCACATTTGACTTCATCGAATCAAGACTTAACCTTTTATGGCTTTGGCATCCTGTGAAATAACTGGCTACTCAACATCTGAACATAGTTAGGGATTCTGTTAGGAAGAAGGGTCAAGGCCATGGACAGCGGGAAGGAAGCGGCAGCGATGATCACATCCAGGCACCAGGACTCAGTGGGCGAGGGAGAGAACGAGAAGCCTTGAAGTTCAGCACAGAGGCTTCTTGCTTTGCCATGAGCCCAGCCCTGCTATGAGATTTGTAATAGAAAGAAATAGTAGAAGTGTTTGGGAAAAAATTTTCCATCATTTTAGGGTGCTATTTTGAAATTACAAAGAGTTCAAGTTGGTTGATTGAAAACCATATGGAAAAAAATTCAAATTCTGACTCACCAAGGGTTACTTGTGTTACTCTATTGTGGACTCGTGGATTTCAAATAACTTTAGGGTCATCGAGTTTAATCCTCTGACCCCCTGTTATAATTCTTGGCTTCCTTCCACACTGTTTTCGATTATCTAACATGTTCCAACACATTTTCTGACACGAGACTCACTGCTTACAGTCCATTCCCTTTTGGGGTAATTCTTGTTAAAAAGTTACTTCTTGTTTTAAACTGAAGTTGCTATAATTAAATAAATATATCTTTTACATAGACATAAATGTGCTATGTAGAAAAAACAGCTTTTAGAAAAAGACAGACTAAGGTTGGTATCTTGGGCTTGCCAATGACTGGTTGCAGGGTTGGGAGCCAGACTATCTGGATTGAAATCCCACATATGCCATTTACCAGCTGTGGGAGCTTAGGAAAGCACTTAACTCATACCTCCACACCTTGTGCCTCAGTTTTCTTTTCTGCAAAATGAGTCCTAAAGTGGCATCTGCTTAATGAGGTTGAGTCATTTGTTATAATGATTAAATGAGACTGTGAAGACAGAGAATTCAAAAAAGGTTAATCTTCGTTCCTACTTCACTTGCCCAATGCCTGCCCAGAAGTTAGGAGGTGCCCTGGGAATACTGTCTGCCCCTCTCGTGCCCTTTCCCCACCAAGCCAGCAGGGCGAAGTTCACAGGGCAGGCGAGCCCCCGCCCTCCCCGTGGCTCCCGTGTTTCTGCGACAGCAAGTCTGCTGCCCTCAGGGCTCAGGCTCACTACTGTTCGTGTCTCCGGGTCATTGACCGTAAGCTCCTCAAGGACAGGGCCAAATCTTATTCATCTTGTTACCTGCAGTGCGCAATTCCTGGCACAAAATCAGTGCTCAACACATATTTATAGCAATTAACTTTTCACTGTGACTGTCTGTAAGCACCGTACTCACATTAAGTGCTCAATAAACATTAGCTATTGACATCATTATTATATAACAAATTCAATTGTCCATACAGGTAATGGGGTGGAGGCTAGTGGAGGATACAACCATTGCGGACGTCTGCAGCACCTACTTCCTTTTCTCCCTAGCCAGAACGTCTGGGGTTTACTTTCCTCTCCCGAGAAGTGAGGCCTACCCACAGAGACTAGCCCGACAAGGGCAGGGAGGACCGAATGTCTCAAGGACCTGCTTCCCGCTGTTCCTTGCCCTGGCTGGGGCCAGCTTTTCAGTTTACCATGCAGTTTGGGGTCATGGAAATTGCACTGTAAGTGGATTAACTAAAGTCAAAACTTGATGACTGCTGCCCCGAACCATGTTTTACCCAAATCATTTTTTCTTGCCCTTCAAATGGTAACCTGAATTCCATATGGAATGTGGTTTATGACACATTAAAGCAAAACAGGGATCCATTCAACCCAATCTTCTGTCCCTGGGGCTGTCTCCAGATGAGGACTGGAGCAGAGCCTAAGAATTTCATGGCATAAATTGAAAACACAAGAACAATACTTCATAACCTTTTACGGATTCACCATCATGGATTAATCTTAATCTTTCTTGAGTTTCTCTCAGCGAACATCAAGGTCTGTCCCTAGTTCTTGGGATCAAGTTTGTGTGCTCTCTATGGTCTCGTAGATGCTGATCTACTTCCAGCCTCCATCTTAGCTGACCTAAGGGGCCTGGTCTACACAGTGGCTGGACTTGGCTTTGTGTGTCCCCTGCTTTTAATCTTTGGTACACTTGAACACTGGCCAACCCAGGTGGTCTAGTGGGTAAGATTCGGTGCTCTCACCACCATGGCCCGAGTCCTTTTCCCAGTCATGGAACCACACCACCCATCTGTTGGTTGTCATAGGGTGGTGGCTGCATGTTGCTGTGATGCTGAAAGCTGTGCCACTGGAATTTCAAATACCAGCAGGGCCACCCATGGTGGATGGGTTTCAGCAGAGCTTTCAGACTAAGACAGAATAGGAAGAAGGGCTTAGCCACCTACTTCTGAAAAAATTGGCCATGAAAACCCTATGAACAGCAGTAGAGTATTGTCTGATACAGCACCAGAAGGTGAGAAGATGGCACAAAAAGACCAGACAGGGTTCTACTCTGCTCGACACAGGGGCGCTAGGAGTTGGAATTGACTCAATAGTGCTAATAACTAATGCTTAACCATTAAATAGCTTTTTCAGATCTTGAATCCCTGGGAAAGAGGCACAAACCTTTTTCACTCAAGATGAATGAATCTCCATGTAGGAGAAACCTGTTTATCTAGGAAGCCAGAAATTCAGAGGCTTCACTCAAGTATTCTTTCTTTGGGAGCCAAGCAAAAAATCTGATGAGTTGACTCCTACTTTTATTCTAGCTGGGCTGGTACGTCTATATAAACAGCCTTTCTTAGGGCAGTTTGGCAGCAGGACCTCTGGTCAGGAAGAGGAGAATCATACGAATGTTTTTATTTCTCAGTCAACATCCTCACCCCACCTCCTCTTTGCTGCCCTTTTTCTGAACAGAGACCAGAGTTTGATTGGGGCTTTGTTTTGTGTTTTGGGCAAAAGTTTGGGTCAGCTGAGGTCAGTTCTCATTTTATCTAAATCAGCTTGCACTCCCTCAATCTCAATGGAAAAACTTCAACAAAAATACATCTACACATAAGACTTAGTTTTCACTGAGTTCTGTGTTGGCAAAGGAGGCCAGATGCTTATCCCCGGAGGCGCTTAACCTCTTAGAGGAGGTTTTCTTAATTTTTTTCAAAGAACTTCTACTTCATCATAAATAAATTGGCTCCCCTTCTTCTAATGCTGACTCCAGAAGCTTGTGGACTTTTGACACATTCTACAATTTTAATGTAGACATTGTCTCAAACATATGATAAGGAGGGAGCATCATAACATGGACAACAGAGGACTGGAGGTGAGGAACCCTGGGTTCTAGTCCTGACTGTGCCACTACGTGTGACTTTGGGCAAATTCCTAAACCCTCGGGTCCTTATCTCAGTAAATTGGGAGCTAGATAATAGTTAAGTTTTCTGTAGACTCCAAGATTTAATGATGCAGTTGATGTAAACTTAGTGGAAATCCAAGGCCCCTAAATAAATCAAAAGATAAATATTAGATTTATTTTAGATCTCACAATTTTCTACCTGGTTAATAGCAAGGAGTACTTCTTGAGTTATCAGGACTAGAGGGATCTTAGGGAGCAATAGAGAACTTTTAACATGTCAGAGCTGGAATGGATCTCAGAGGTTGTCAGATCAAATCTGTTCCCTTTTAGATGAGGAAACAGGCATGACCAGGAACAGTGACTTGCCTAATGCTGGCTGAAAAAGCCACCCTGGATTCTGTCTTCGTTGCTTTTACTTTACACTACCTGGACTCTTACTGCTACTCAGAGGTGTTCTTTATAAGAAATGTTGTTAGTATTGTGTTTTAAATAGCTCCAGTTTTTAAAAACTCTTTCTGTTAAGAGCAAACCCATTAGGCCATTCTTTCTCTTCCCCATTAGGATTGTAACTGTAAACCAAGGGACACCGTGGAAGTTGACATGTGGAACATATGTCCCAGGGATTTGAACACTTTAACAGAGGAATTTAAAATACCACCTTGTGTGAGGACACATGAATTCATATCTTTCAGCCTTTTCGTTGGTTCCATATATACCAATCATCTCACATATACAAGCCTGAAAAATACTTTCTTGCCACAATTTTCCAAAGACTACCTTTACTCAAGGTATCTAGATAGCCAAAGTCCAAATTTATTTTGGAAAATGCATAATCAGGATTGTTGGCTTTGGGAAGTTTATATAGTTTATATTCTACATTAGGAAATATAAGAGCACAGGCTTTATTTCGTACACAAAATGATCCATTTGCAGTATTCCTCAGACAGTGAGGACATTTGATCAGATCTGAGCAGTAGTCACGTTAGCTTCAGAGTTTGCCAGCAAGTAAATATCTACTCTTCCTGATAATATCTTGTTTTCCCCACATTTAGGGGAATGAAAAGTGTCATATACATGAATTTTCAGGTAATTAGTATCTTTATAAAAGCACAATCCTAGTTTTAGATTGATACTATTTGATAAAGTATATATTTTTCTAACGAGCATAATTATAGATGTTTTTACATTTTCTAAATGATCTGTTTCATCGTGAACATCAATTATTACACCACCCCTGATAATACAGTGATCACCTCAGGAGCTATTGAAGTGCATGGGGCCACTTGCCCCTGTGCTTAGATGCAGGCAAGTGCACATCTGTATTTTTGCGATCCTTGTACTAATGGTCTGTCTCCTATCGGGTCCTACAGTGGAGAGCATAATGATATGTAGCAGCCCCTCACTGACCTGAGAACATAGTGCTTTGGGTTTTGAAACCAGATGACCAAATTTGTTAGAAGCATGGGAAGAATGAGAGAGATAAGAATGTGAGAGAGGTTTGTGGGACTTTAGTGCATTGAATTTTACTGCTCAAAGCTCTCCTCTA